AGCATCTCCATGCAGTATTCTATATGCATCCTTACGAGCTTCAGTGGTCCAATCTGCTGAGGGCCTGCCTGTCCACCTTCTGGTGGGAGTTCTAGATTCTAGGCGTCAATCCGTCTGTCTTGAAATTCCTAAACCTTCAACCCTGAACCCTAAATTAACTTGAACTAGAGGGTCTGTAGGGCTGCCTCGCACTACGGATCCAAAATGTCTGAGATTTGCCTTGCACCATGTGTCCGCAAAGTGCTCAAACGAACATCCATAATCTTTTCGTATTTTGTCATTATCGGAGGCACCGGCCCCCATGGATGTATGCACTATACTATAGTAGTTTAGGGTTTAGGGCTTTGGGGTACGCCCAAATATAGTATAGTAAAGTGTGGGCAGCCTAGATATGCCACGGCATAGTATAGCCGACCACTATGCGATGGCTCTTCCTCTGGAGTCGTTGGTGAAGACTGGACTGCAAAGACATTCGGATTCGTGCATGGAAGTGTCTCTAAACGACCCACCCAGCGAGCCCAATACCCATTAATTATGGAATATACCTTAAATTATAGGGTCCTTAATATTCTGATTGAAGGTATATTCCTTAATCGAGTTTCGGGGAGTTTTGGAAGTTGGGTTTCAAGGTCTAGGGCTTGAGGCTGCGGGATTTAGGGTTTTCGGACCTTTCGGATGTGTGATTTTCGGGTTTCAGAGCCTAGGGTGCTAGGTTCCGAGCTTCAAGGTTTCAGGGCGCCAGGGTGTAGAGCTTCCAGGTGTCCGGGGCCGCTAGTCACAAGGGCTTTAAGATGTCCGGGTCTCCGTGCTTTACGGCATTAGGAGCTAGAAAGACGAAGTAACCTGGCCGCCCCGCACGATGCGTGGGAACCCTGAACCCTAAACCCTAAACCCTAGACCGACTGCATGGCTCGAGTCTGCGAGTGGTTCTGAACCGCCCCTAAAACAACAGTATCACGAAGGCGAATCAGCTGCGTCTGCGTGTCCTAATGCGGTGTCGACAGGGTAGACACGGTATAAAAAAAAACCCTGGAGGCCCTGGACACGCCACATCTGGTTCTGAAGCATTTGCCAGTGAAAGTTAAGGATATTGAAACAGGAGACGAGAGAGAGGGAGAGAGAGGGAGAGAGAGGGAGAGAGAGGGAGAGGGAGAGAGAAATGTGGCAAAACGAAGGCGCGAAGGGACCCAAAGTCAATTGCAGATCCCAGAGCCCAAGATACTAAACGCAACTCCCAAGATCCAAAACCGTGCTGTGCATGGGATGCCACCAAGGTCGCGACAGCCGTGAGCATGGGTGCTGTGACCGTCTCACCTCGTGCATGGAACCACACCAGGAGGTTAGCACTACCCAGAAAACGCAAAAGCCGTTAGTTCAGGCAGATATGACAACTCCTGATCGATGCTCCTGAACATTCCTGAACTCGTATTGGATTCGCGTGGTACCCCTGGACCTTAGCCTTAATCTCTACACACCTTGCGATGCAACCTGAAACTCAACGGTTCAGCGTTGGGGGCTCATAAGGTTCGGGATTCGCGGTCAAGGGCGTAAGTTTGCTGTTGGGATAGTGCTTGGGCGGATGATTCCGGGGTCACTGCCCCCACCTTAACAGTTCCAGGGTGTACGGTTTAGGGCTGCTAGAACCATCTATCGTCTCAAGGGTCTGAGTCGAAACCCGAGTATGAGATTCACAGGGACACTACGTACCGCAAGAGTAGGTGCTGGCAGACCGAGGTATAGAGGTAACTACACCCTAAACCCTGAATCCTAATGTAGGAACCTGATGAAGAAACCCTCGCCCTGTCACCCCAAAGTAGTAGGATTCATAGAAAGAACCCTAATAGGGACCCAGGGCTTCTTAATCAGGATTCCTACTTTAGGCCTTTCGTTTTCGACCCTAACCCCGAAACCCCGAAACATCATACCCTTCCCCTAACCGTTGAACCCAAGACCACTTACACCTCGCGGGTTTGGGGTTTGGGGCTTGGGGTTTCGGGAAATGCTAACCCCTGAACCCACAAGCGCATCCGCCTTCCTCTTCATCCTCGTAGGGTGTGGTTGGTGATGGAACATCCGTCGGCACAGGCATCTCTCTGGGGGAGCGCTGTTGTCCTCACAAAGCTGGTTCTGCAAGCTCGAGAGTTCAACATAATGTAGGGGCTTTAATAATTCGATTGGGGTTTTGGGTTCCTTTATAGTATGCTTCTAGTAAGGAAACCCCAAAATAATGTAGGTGATCAAGGCCCCTACATTGGGGCCTTGCTAGTTAGAGTCAGGTTTGACCGGTGATATTTCACTATGGCTACAAAAGGTCTCTGAAAGGATACGCCTACTCATTAATCAGAATCTTGTAGTAAGCCTTTTTGAGCTTTAGGGTTAGCTCATGTTGGTTTCCTTCATCTGGAACAAGGTTCCCTGTTTACGTATGGCCATATTATGTATGTATGGATGGATAGATAGATGGATGGATGTATGCATGGATGTATTGATGGGGGTATGTATGTAGGTGTGTACGATTGTGCGTATGCACGTATGCAAATGCATGCGCGCATCTGTGCGTAAACACATATGTACTTTTTAGTTTTTATATCTATTTAGGTAGTTGTATTTGTTTATACCTTTATGTCTGTATACATACATGGCTATAATTAACTGTATTTAAGAGTACCCAAACAGCTTTGATGTGACCTACGCATCCACTAAAGTTGAGAGTTGAGAGTTTGGCGGCTACTGGGTTACGGTTGCCAGGGCATGTCCCCAAACTAGCTCACGCTTATTCCTTGGCCGAAGCAGTACTGTAGGGGCCTTAATAATTAGAAGAGGGTTTTGGGCTCCTTTAAAGTATAATTATAATAAGGAACCACCAAAATAGTATAAGTCATTGTAAAGGCCCCTACATTAGGGCCTTGCTAGTTAGAGTCAGTAAATGATTACCAATACTACTTTGGGGGTTCCTTCTTATGATGATAGTATAATGGGCCCCAAAACTCTATTAAGGGCCCCACATCAGCGGTTTCACAAGCCTTGAATGGTATTCCGGGTTTGGGGCTCAGGATCGAGAGTCCGGAGCTTGGAACTCAAGGTTGTCTCTTGTTGCGGGTCTTGTGGTTTGCTTGTCGGCTTTGGGTTTAGGGCTTTTAGGGTTTAGGGTTTGGGGTTTAGGGTTCATCCCTATGTTTTGGGCTGCTTCGTAGCATTTGTCCGCGACGGCCTTAGCTGTCTGATACCTCAAGTCCACGCGAACCACTGCCTGCGGTCCCAAACCGTGCAAAATACTAGGTGACGACCCCTTCGCTTATATGGTATAGCCCTGGATATTGTAAAGGGCCCCAATGCCCTCAACTTCCCGGGAAGAGACATTCAGGAACTAGTATCAACAATGATGCGGCCGTGTACGGATCCTGCCAAAGCACAAAACCCAATCGCCCCACCCCACCCCACAAAAAAACAACCTCCCAAGACAAGGCCAGCCTGATGCCGTAGCTGAGGAGCCGAATGCCTTGGAGCCCGAAGCTTGTTTTATTTTCTTACATCATGAATGGGCAGATGCAGATGAATCAACGAATGAATGATTAGCCATAAACAAATGCATATTCTAAAACGACCGCTGAAGAGAAATGAAAAGCCAACATCTGCATACATACACGTGAATGTTTTATGTTTTCGAACCTTTAGAAGCCTTTGCTGTTTCTGCTGCATATCAATTGGAACTTTCTGTTAGACGTGGTTTTCGGTTGGATGGGTTTCTGTCAGACCTGTTTTTGTTTGAGACAGGAGCTTGCGTTTGACAGGGCTGTCTGGCTGACGAGGTTTCCTGTGACACAAGCTTGCGAATTATTCTACATGGCTTGGCTTGGGTTGTTTTGGATTGGTGTGCCGGCAGAACCTCTAAAAACCTGGAACTCGCAAACAGACTACAACGATACGAATGTGTATATGTTTGTATACACATGCACATATACATACAGATATACACATGCATGTATGTATGTATGTATGTATGTATGTATGTATGTAAGTATGTATGTATGTATGTATGTATGTATGTATGTATGTATATACACACATAATATTTACATGTCACGTAGAAGCACGAGTTGTTTATTTGGGGCGGTGTGGCGGCGGCTTGCCAGATTGAGGATTCTGGGCTGGAGAGCATGAAAGAGTGTGGGGCTCAGGGTGCTGCGGCCTCGAGGCTTTTTGGTTTAGGGTCCAGGGTTTAGGCTT